CGAGGATCATCGTTCGATCGGGCCGGGTTCCAAACCAGTCGAGGCTTTAGGAGTCTCGCGACCGATTATTATGGATCATGTCCCGGCAAGTGTTGGGAATAACGCGTTCCCAAACGACCGCCGTTGTCAGAAATTTGCCAAGTTTCGGACTGCTGCCACTGTGTTGTGACGTGTCTTAACGCCTTGCGTCGTCGTTAGCTTTATGCGAGACGCGAGACAAAAGTTTCGTCAGATCCGCGAATTGTCGGTGGCCCTAATCTCTCAGGACACGCGCGGAGAAGTAACGAAGTAGGCTGCATGCGAATGAAGTTGAGAAAGTTTTAACTTTGGAACGGAGGAACCTTTCACACATACAGACAGCGTAGAGACTTGGAAGAAGAAACCTTGATCTAATCGGACACTGTATGCCGTTCGCGGGAATGAAACACGGAGGGAAACTTTCGCGATCGATATATATTTGAGCAGAAAAGTAGCGTCACTCGTGTGCTGAAACGAACGCGACGATGGAAACAATGTCGAGTGAGCGATGCGGGCGAAGTAACGAGCAATAAAAAACCGCGCGGAAAGTAACTCCCTTTGCTTTGTAAAGATTTGGGAAATACGGGACAGACTTTTATGGCCTTTTTGCGTGAAGGAACTGCTTCTTCGCGCGAGACGGCGCGTTCCTAAGCTCGTTGAAACAAATGTAGCCGAATGCCGGCCTATTTGCATACTCATTGTGCTGTAAGTGCTTCACCCTAACGGCGGTGGTTGGGTAGATCTCATAACAAAACTGGGATGGTGCGAGGTCTCGAAAGCACGATGAAAATGGTTAGCACCACAGGCAAGGAAATGTCACCCGAAAATTATACGTGAAATTAAGTTGCATTACAAGCTCTCTCTCTCTTCCTCTCTCTTAAAAAAAAATTATATAATTTGTTGTTTCGAAAAATTATCGTTTTTAATTTTCGTTCCTTTTATTGCTTTGCTGTAAGAATTTTTGTCATTTTTTTTTTTTTTAGTTTAGACAGAGATTAATGTGATATAAAACAAAAGATTTTATTTATAAAATAAAGTTTACAGCTCGTCGATTTAAAATCAATGTGAATACAGGCATGGCCAATGCGAAAATACCAATGTTTGTATGCGCGAACAATTCTTTTATTAAAACAATTAACTTTCCAGAATATTTTGACCATTGATTGTAGTCATCTTTAGCCGTGCAATTTTTTATTTACATTAATAAGAGAAAAATTTACAAGTATAAAAATAGATGACATATCTCGGTTTTAGTAAATAAAATTGAATATTGAATTATATCTATTATTTGTCGATCAATGATGTTTCTTGCATTGAATTTTAAAACATTACTTTTCGCAACAATTTTTGTCGCTCTTGTTTATACATTATTTTATGTTGCTACGATCTTTCTGATGCTGAGTTTGTTCACATTGTCTTGATTATAAGCGAAACAACTACGAAAACACATGTAGTTTTCTTTATTGGTTTTGATCTCGAAACTCGTCAGTCGTTTTCAACAAACTTGGAGAATATAAAATTGTAATATATTATAAAAATTTCGATAACGATCTGAATTAACAATAGCTCTCTCCTTGTTTTGTATTTTTTATATTAACATTGAATTTTTTTCTTTTTTAATAATATGTAGTTTTATATTTGCAAATTGCCGTTCATATCGATGCGCTTATCTATATTCACATTGTTTTATTTATTCTATATCGCAATTGAGTGAGATGTTATATCGCGAAGAGCATGACAACAAATTCCGCATATATATAACAACACATTCCGTGTTCCTGTTATCTCAACGTGTAAGTACATTCGCAATAATTTCCGTCATCTTGTGGCCGGTCTTATCAAAAAAACCCACAACGACGAATTCCCCGTTAAATCTCTTTAATTTCTTGCAACGTCGGTTTAAAATCTCACCGCAAAACCGCGAAACAATTTTAAAGACGATGCAAACTGCATTATCACAAACATTTTGCAATCGCTTGCAATAAGATGCACTGCATTTAGAGCGTTATCGATACGATTTAACCGCGAAATGAATGATTAAAAAATACAATTACCTATCATTATAATATAAAATATGCATACAATATAATTTGTATAAAGACAAAAAATCGATTGATTTGACGACATTATTTGACTGATAGTCTACGATTTCCTGCGCTTAGGCTTTAGAAGGAAAGACCTTTCTCAATTAAAGGGCATAAGATTACGGGTGTAATAAGATATCGCGTCTCGTCCGCCAGGCAAACTCAATGACTGCCGAAAACAGGGAGCACACATTGCAATTAATAATATCGGTAATTGGTGTATGCGTACCGCGCGTGCCGCTGAACTTCAAAGGTCATCGCCTGGGTAGCGCGAGTTTAATTAACGCAATCAAATGAAAATATTCATGTACGCGCCGACGCTGCGATTGGTGTGTGTGCGTGTCCGTGAGCCGCCACCAGCTCATTATGCAAAAGTTCTGTGCGTTTCCCGCAATTTCAATATTCGTTCAATTCCCAAAAGGTTTGCAACTGTAAATCGTGGCATTGACACAGATCGGGCGCTTCGAAATCGGATATATAACTCGATTTTTCGGTCGGACATTTTAAACCGCCCCGTCGAGATCGACACGTGTATATCGCATGCTATCGTAATTAAAATAGTATATATTTCGATAAAACATAATGAATGTAAAACGTTTCATTGCATATTTAATATACTCTTTATTTTCTCTTTATTAAAATAAATGGAATTACAACATGTTTATACATGCCAATGAAGAGACTAATACGTACAATTATAAATTTATATCATGATGTTTTCGTATTTAATAGAAGACATATCGGACACGTTGCAAATTTGTTATTGTAAACTTGATTTTGCGTTCAAAATCACAAAAATTTCTTGCTCTACACGTTGTGGAGCTTGACATTTCCTTCGGTCAATACTTTACGATTTATTTACGAGGTTTAACAATATTGAAGTAGTATCGTCCTTTGCTTGAAACTTAAGATATAATTACGTAAGAAAATAGTCATGTATTAAATGGCATATATATACACACACACATATCCTATGTATATCGTCGTAGATTATAATTTGTTGCTTTTGTCTCTCCCTGACATGGAAAAGTTTATAGTGCCGCAATCAGTAGACATACATATATATTCTTGCATTTGTTTCCCTCATTTCGCGTAATCACTGCGTAATCGCGCGCGAATGACACTCGATCTAATGTCAGATATTAACACACACATCCCGGAAATCGTGCAGCTTTCTGTCGCTGGCTCAGCAGCAATTGGCGTCCTTCGTCATCCCCCTACAATTGTCTCGAGGATGCGAGTGGAGGAGGCTCGCACGGTAATTGCGGATCGACATATCGCGTTAACGCGTCACGCTCGCCCGCGTTATATATCGACGTGGTTGCGTTTGACGATAAAGCGCGGTCTTTAAGACGTGGGAACGTACGCATCTGAACCACGTGACCTTCGCCGATATCGATAGGTTGAAGCAATGTATGAATTCGCGCGCTTACGATCGCTCGCGCTTAATTGAGATGCACCCTGTATCGTTATACTTTGGCACGTCATCGCGAGCTGCAGAAAAAAAGTGGCATAATTTACTTGTACGCACAATAAGGCGGGGGCAGGGGGATTATCGCATTATTTCGTCGCGTCGTGTCCCTGAGTTATGTTATACGTGTCATCGACAATTGTTACGATGGGTTATCGGTGACAGACGACAAAGTTTTGAAAGTCGGTAATGGCTAGACTATTGACGTCTCTACTATTGAAATCAATGCATTACCGTGGAAGTCTATAAGAAAATTATTAGCAAATTCGATCTGTGTTCTTCGATACCGGTAAGCTTAATAATTTATTGTTGAATCTCGACATTTATTTCAGTGTTAAGACAACTTATACTTAGCTCACGCTCCATAAATCATACATACATAAATCCCTCCTTTCTTCCACACATGTGCACGTATGCATGCGTCTTTTATTGTGGAAGAAATTATTGGAGAAATCGCGCGGGCGTTGCTATCGACAATTATTCTCGCGCTTCTTCCAAGTTCAACCTCGCTGATGTTTCGCTAATGATTTCGAAATTGCGCTAGTGGCGATGGCGAGCGATTTACGAGCGGAAAATGAGCGCGACGCATCGAATTACATGTCGTTACGTCGACGCTCGTCGCGGCTCTTTATACCGCAGGAACGCCTTACGCGCTCGAGTATATCCGCCGTAAATGCAAACCGGTATGCACGCGAGCTCGTTCGCCGCGCGCGTACACGCACCCACGTATTGACACTTCTGCGGTGCAGTAGCGTGTGATGCGCCGACATAAACGCGCACGGTTCGTTGCTGCGCTCCGATGTGTGCGTGTGTGTTATGTGTATGCATGAGCGTGTATGTGTGAAATCGACCACGTGTGTTCGTTGTCGTCATCGTTTACGCGTACGAAGGGGGTGGTAGCAGCGGGGTGATGGGGGAAGGAGGGGGTGGTACGGAGGCGCTGTAGCGAAGAAGAATCGGTGGACGCATACTAATTAAAAGGGCGTATTGTTGCGCGTCGTCGCGAAAAGATGTGCTAATTACATCTCGAAGGAGAGGTCTTTTTGCATCTTTCCCCCGAGTAGACTCGCGAGTTGAATGGTGCGAATCTCGCGCCTGACTTTCTTTCTTCCCGTTTGAAAGGATCTTTCCGGTCCCCTTCCACGCATGTCGTTGCCTTATTGAATCGACGTACTCTTGGGGTACACCTTCGATACCCCCTATGTCGCATTATACATACCCGCGCGAGAGAAAAATTGCAAAATTGCCCATTCGTTCTTCCACTGGGAGGACTCTGTATCTCATGAATTGATGAATGCTCTACGGACGTATTATCCGTGAATTTGTACTTATAGCGTAATTATTATTGTATCGGGAGAATCAAGACGAATTGGCCGTCAGAGATATCCGTATATTCGCATTTCTAAAACTACGTTTCCTCTGTTTAGATTGACGAATGACGCCGTAGCAGAGAGCTGGTTGGTGCGCGGATACCGGGACGCAAGAGAGGTAAGTTGAAATTAATCATTATACTCTGAAAATTGTGCGATCGATCGATTGAAATTTGAAAATCTTATCGCGATCGCGCAATTGCGTAGATTAATGTAAGTCATCGGTTGAGTAATACATACTTAAATATTCTCTTGGTAGAGCCGAATGTACAATATTTAACGTTGCTTATTATTTCGGTGACAATTTATTGGCTGCTGCATAACTTGCAATTAAAAGCGTACAGGAATATTGCAAATTTCGAATAGGTAATGTATTAATTACAAACGTTGCGTTTTGAATAGCGTCTTGCAATACTTCGATATCAAATTAAAATATTAATAATTTCAAGCCAAGTTATAAAACACTTATAATTTATTCAATTCTATATATTCAATACTATATTATAGGTTTTATGCATGATTTTATTATTTCATCTCTCTATCTATTTTCGAAAAGCGCAATCGATACTTCTTACTGTTCGTAAAAAATAATTTTACAAATTTTACACTTAACACACACACACACACACATATATATATATATATATATATATATATATATATATACACATACATATTGTATGTTCTATATTTACGAATATAAAATCCTTCTGTATAATTGAAAATATCATAAAAAGTTTTTAGTTTTTGCGCGGAATATAATATATATATATATATATATATATGCATGAAAGATGACATGAATATACATGCATAATACATTTGATATGTGTGTGATACCAGAGTATGGAATATTAGATAATGCGTTTTTATTAAAACTGAGAGTATCAGACAGATGTAATCCCCGTGTGTCCACATATACATATATGAAAAAAATCACGCGAGCTCTCTCGTCCCTTCCTCTTTCAACATCCGCGCGGTTCGGCTCTCCATCTGCATAGGTTCATGCAGACGAAGAGTCTCCTTCTGATAATGCGGTCGATGCTTAGAATTTTAAATGCATTTCATATCGTTATCTGCGACGCACATTCTCTTTCCATTTCCTTTGGGTTCTTCTTTCTCGTCCTTATCTCTCTTTCAGTCCCGCCCGTGCGGGATCCTATATCTCGCTTTCCAAGACCTCTGCTCTCGTGCTCACTCGTTCAACAGACGACATATGTGTCTTTATGAACGGTATGTGAAGTAGACAAGTGTATTTAAAATCTCGGGCGTTAGTTCAAGCTTCAAGGGAGAGAAGGACGACTCTGGGTAGCAGTGTGGCGGGTGCGGAGAGTTTCAGGACGATACACAAAAGAATGCAAAGTAAGAACCGCGACCTCCGCTAACCTCCCCTCGACCAACCACTCCGTATTCTCTTCTCTAGCCGCGCTCTCTAGATCCCCTTCTCCCTCATCACGTACCTGAACAACCCCCGTTTCATGCATTCCTCCTGCTCACCTCCCCCATCGCGCCGTGTAATCCTCCTCTTCCTTTATCATATCGTTTCTCTTGTGTCGGAGGTTACAACGCATTATCATACAAGGCGACGCCTCGCCTTCCCTTAATTGTTTTCCCAGTCTCGCGAAAAGGGAGGGAGAGAAGGACGGCTAACCTCGACACGTTCTTGCCGACGATCGTTCGCTCAAGTGCGAGAACGATGCCGAAGAGTGTTTCTTCTCTTTGCGCGCGAGCTCTTCGAAAGCGCGACAGGCGACGAGGGGGTGAGAGCGCGACAATTTACGAGTGGTCACCGTGGGTGGCAGGGCGTCGAATTTCTCTCTGCTATACGCTCTGGGAGATCCTTCGTATTCCGTAATGTTCGACATCAAAGGCCCCGGATGGCGGGGAGGACATTTCGCGCGCTGATGACTGCGAGTAGGAAAAAAATGAGGGAAGGGAACGCGCGCTCTCTTATTGGTGTCTACGGGCGGAAAATATCTTTTTTTCTGTGGTTCGGTGAATCCGGGGCCGCAGACATCACTGGTACACATTGGTGACAAGCGGTGCTTTTTGTTTTCGGACACGCTCGATTTCGCGATGCCGTACGCACGTTTAACAAGAACGTCTCGTGATCCGGAAACGATATCATAAAGCGGTCGATCTCTTTTAATCGTCAATTTTGTATGCGCGAGAAGGTATTAATTGAAATGCATTTATAATAAATTTGCGTTGAAATATTAAAATTCCGATAATGGCACTTATGTCGTACGTGGACATTTTTAAATTATTGTAAATTTGGTTAAATGTAGCAGAGCGATCGCTTTCTACGACGACTTGGAGAAATTTGAGATTAGTCTCGTGAAGTCGTAATAAAGGGATAACGGCCTTATGAACTTTGCGGTCGGTTTTCGACATCTGTCTAAGATGAGTCTCGGTTCACCCTCGATTAACCTCGACGAGCGAAACATTTCTCAAACTCTCGTTAAGGATCTGTTTGCCACAAATACGCATGATTCATTTTATCCAAAATGTAATTCAATCACGCAATTAATTCAAATTATTTATATAAATATTTTTGTGCAAATATAACAAATCGAAATTTATTACCTTTGATTATCTCATCAGCTGATCAAACAGCAAAGTATTGACTGTCAAGTAATCTGTACATCGCACAATTTTTCGATGATAAAAAAAATTTATATATATATCAATCTATAAATCGGCGCCTAATGAAACGTGAATTCTTAGTTGACAACAGCGGATATTAGATCTACGACAAAAACCTATTATCCGACTGCACGTCTATGCGTGTCGCGTGGAATGTAATACCGCATCGAGCGGCTGCAGCGCTAATTGTGTGCATTCCGACTAATCGCCCCTGATTTTACGCGTCGCCGGACATCGCAGCCCCTCGTCAAAGAGATGCTGAATATACATCGGTATCGGGAATCAACGATAAACTTTATCGAGATTGAGATCACGAGAGTGATCATTAGGAGAAATTTATATATTTCTATTCTCTTAATCCGTGGGATTTGCATGATTCGAGTAAGTATGATGCAAATATATGTCGTAAACGAAAGAGAAGAAGAGAGAGATAGAGAGGAAGACAGTTTCTTCGCTGCTCCAACGTTCGCGATATGCAGAAATGTCGCCGAGAATGGATAGATGGGACATTTACGTCATATCCCACATAAGTGGACACATAAGTACACGTAAGTGTACACGAAGGCACTTATCAGTGTGATCGCTTCGTTGTCGAGAGAAGAGAGGAGACGGGGATGGGTACATTAAACAGCCGTCGAGAGTATGGAGAATGACAATGGTACATCGGCTTGTTCTTCCGGAACGAATGTCGTTTTGTACGAGTCCGTGCGACGAATGGGGCCGGATCTTCGGTCGCTGAGTCCCAGCAACGCGATTGGACCCCTGAGGCTCGATTATCCACCTCGACCAATCACGGTGTAACGAAGGTATAAAGAATCCGCGTAACAATTACGAACGCGTTGGGTCTCTGCACGCGATACGTCCGATAAATATATAACCGCCGGGATTAAAGTATACACATCTCTTTCGCGAGAGACGAAGCGTATCTATTCGCTTGCGCAAAAATTCCGCCATTGCCGGACTTGATTAAATTGAGCCGTGTGTCGGTTGTAATTACGATTAATGACAACTTGGGAATGATAGAAAGATTCGCGATCTTGTGCGTGACGCGAAATGTCGGGGCTCTGTCTATAATTCCGCCTCACCGGATTGTAGAATGGTGACACATATTCCATATAAAATAATTGTGACAAGAATAACGTCCTCGCATTTGTGTCGCAATATGCGACAAGAGCGAAGGGTGGGGAAGCGCTCTTCGTAAGCGCTCTATCATTCTCGCTTATCGCGCCGCTGCATTCTGCCGATCGCTGTTTCTCTTGCCCCGATCAAGATTCAGAAAAAAAAAAAATAAAGAATTATGTCGGAATCGTGTCACGGATCCGCACGCGATCGAAATGGTGGACGGGTATTAAATAAAATACTTTTGATGGAGCTAATGGCAGCTCGAAGATTACGTTCACGGTCGGCATGTTCGTATAGATATTTGAGCGCGTGATGAGCGGAAGGCGAATGGTGAATTCTATTCGAAGGAGAGCGTGCGAATGTGTCACGTTTGTGTACAGACATGTATAATCTCTCGCACGCGAATACAAGCACACATAGGGGTAATTACGCAAATAGATGTGTGCATATGTCGTGCGGGCTTATGAGTTCGCCACTAGACATGCGAAAATGACTCCGGTCGGTCCTCGATTCGTGCTATCTTCGAATGCCTCGTCGTTGCATTATCGTACTTGTAATACGTGTAGCAGTTTAAAAAAAGACCACGTTCAATCAATTTAAATTTATAAATACGAATTCGTTCAGTAGAGTACTTTCAAGATTTATTTTTCAAATTCAATTCTTTTCTTCAAAGATGAAAAAAATATATCCACTCTCGACTTTCTGACGCATGACGTAGGTGTAGAAAAAAAAAATAAAACATCGTAGAGAACGCGACGGTTCTTGCGAGATATCGCCATTATCGTCGGGCAATATTTCCGGTTCCTGCCCAAGAAGTGTGTTCTCAAAGATAATTCGTTATCTTATCTCGATAATTCGCGTCGCGCGCCGGACTTTCATGTCCTTCCGAGAGCGAAAGAGAGAAGACGATGACGATGGCGACATTTACGCCAGGGCGAAGGAGAGGAGGCAGAATAATTAAAGAAGGAGGAATAATCCTGAATCAGCGTCATCGCGCACAAGCCAACCGGATGCACATTGTGCGCCGTTTCTTTACGCGTTTTTCTTTTGTGCAAGGAAAATTTCAGTCGGTTCGTTGGCGGAGAAAAATCGGTCTGAATATCTCGATCTTCTGGATGAAGTTGTTCGAATTATCGTTTTATGCTGAATCTCGAGTTAAATAAAGACCAAACTCAAAAAAATATGTTTGCAACTTAGATCTAATAGAAAATATTTATCAAGAATAAAAATGTTGAGAGTCCGATGATCATTTTCGATGAAATTGTAATTATTTGAAATATCTATTTCTAATCATCCTAGACTTTACTATTGTATATGAATATATCTAATTAGCTCTAAATCTTGTATAAT